AGTCTCTAGGTCCCACCATGTCTTCTCCAGGGGTAAGAGGTCTTTGTTTCTTACAGTTGCATAGTATTCCATTGTGTAAATGTACCACAGCTTTTTTTAATCCATGTATCTACTGATGGACACTGTTTCCAGATCTTAGCTGTTGTAAATAGCGCTTCTATGAACATAGAGGTGCATATATTCTCTTTTTTTTTTAATCCTCACTGGAGGATGTTTTTTCCCTTTATCTTCAGATAGAGTGGGAGGTGGAGAGAGAGAGAGAAAGAGAGAGGATGTTTTTCCCTTTATCTTCAGATAGAGTGGGAGGAGGAGAGCGAGAGAGAGAGAGAGAGAGAGCGAGAGCGAGAGAGAGAGAGCGAGAGGAAGAGAGAGAGAGAGAGAGAGAGAGACAGAGAAACATTGACATGAGAGAAAGATTATCGGATTATCGACTGGCCGCCTCACGCATGACCCTGACCAGGGCCGGGGACTGACCCACAATGAGGTACGTGCCCTTGACTGGAATAAAACCCGCGACTCTTTGGAGCAAGGGCGGATGCTCTATCCACTGAGTCTAACAGGCCAGGGCAAAGTGCATATATTCTTTCTGATTGGTGTTTCAGGATTCTTCGGATATGTTCCTAGAAGTGGAGTCACTGGGTCAAATGGCAGTTTCATTTCTAATTTTTTGAGGAAACACATTGTTTTCCATAGTAGTTTCACAAGTCTGCGTTCCCACCAGAAGTGTACTAGAGTCACCTCTCCATTTTTTTTTTTATCCTAACCCGAGGACATTTTTCCGTTTTTGTTCAGATGGAGTGGGAGGGAGAGAGAGAGAGAGAGAGAGAGAAAGAAACATCGACATGAAAGGGACACATTTAGTAGTTGACACCCGCACAACCCAACCAGGGCCGGGAACAAACTGCAACTGTGGCACGCGCCCTTACCGGGAACCGAACCCGGTTCTCCCTTCAGCGCAAGCCAACACTCTAACAGCTGATCCAAACCGGCCAAGGCCTCTGTCCATTTTGTATTGTTGTTTTAAAGTAACAGCCATATATTTCCAAAATTGGTATGTGGCTATCATTTGGGAGGCTATGATTCACTACAGCAAGATCTGCCCTCCGGTCTCCAAAGGTTCACCTGCAATCCACATGTAAAATACATGCAATTTATCGTCACATTTCCCAAATTTCTGAATCCTTTTCAGTAACAACTCAGTTTCAAAATCTCTTCTAAGTATCATCAGCTCAATTGTACTTACTGCCATCTTCTGAAACACATTTGGATGGGACTCAGGGCATGATCCATCCTGGGCACAATTGGTTTTGGCACTTTGGCATAGGAAAACAAGTAATTTGTCCCCAAGATACAGTGGAGGGATCATAGGTCTATACCTTCTCATTTTAAATAGAACATAAAAGGAAGGAGTCACTGTTTCCAAGTATTGTTGAAATCTAGCGGGGCAAATTTTATTACGATTCAAGGCATGGGAATAATCCCGTGTTCTCCAGGCTCGCCCTGTGGTTCTATAGTTCTTCCCGCAGGGTCATTTTTTCTTTGTCTTAAACGATGTCACATATTTGTAGTTTAGTTTTCGTTGAGTTTTTATGTGTATGGCGTTGTGGAAATTTAGCAATGTTCTGAAATTTTTTCCTGCCGCTGTTACTTTTGGACTAATCTGGAAATGTTTCTGATGATATATAAAAACCATGTTGCATAGTGGTTGTCCCACAAGGTGGTGTAGGAGGATGTTGACCTTGCTGCCTCTCACAAACACACCAAATATATGCTTCCATTTAGGGCAAGTCGTCGTGGAAGTTGATTTGTGCCGCATGGATGGCTTCAGTAAAACAAGCGAGAGACCGACAAGAGAAATTTGTGAAACATCGAGAGTTCTCTGGGATTTGAGGGAACTGGAGGGGATCAAGGGTGCTTGGAAAAAACTCTGCTTATGTCCCCCTCAGTTGGATAGTGCTGGAGGGAGCTCTAGCCAGGTGCCCTTGCTCAACTGTAGGTCTGCTGCACTGCTTCCAGGTCACCCTTCCGTAGATTGCTCTGGTGGGACCAATAGGATGCCAAAGCACTCACATTCACCGGGCCCCCACCAAGAACCTGGTCCAGATATAGACATTTGAACTGACTAGGTTGTCATTGCAGGCATCCACACCAGGCAGCCAGACCCGGAGTTACCTCCAGCTGGAACAATGAGGTTCTGTGATGCCTGAACTCCGGGCGGTCCAGTCTGGAAGCCACTTTGTTCACAGAAAATCATTACCCCCCAGGAGACCCAGGCCTCTGCATGCATCTTGAGGCTTCTTTGAATCTTCTCTACAGGACTCAGGAAAGAGCGTCACCTGGTGGACACATAGTGGAACTGTGAAGAAGGGCTTTCCAAGCTTCAGTCTTTAATGAAAGAAAAGGCCAATAAAACGTTGTATTTAACCTGAGCAGAATTTCATGTCTCTAATGAATTACAGCGGAATTACATAGAACATCATAGAACAGAATAGTACAAGTCAGAGTGTAAGACATGAACAAACATCAGCCTAGTTTTGAAAAGCTTTTGTTTGAGAGTCACTGCAAAATGTGTTGTTATTGTGGGTCTCGGTGAATAAAGTTCAGAAGTCTCCTCTTACGATGCATTTACTGTTGTTTCTCACACATGCCTGCATGTCCCAATTCTCTACTAGGAATAGGGATTAGCTATAGACCCAGTCGAAAGATTATTGAAAGACACACAGAACGGACAGGAAGGTTTAGACTGTTATTTAGGACCCTCATTAGAAGGGCACCTGCATGCGTACTGGGCCCCAGGCTTGGGGGGAGAAAGCTAATTGGGGTGTACTCCGAGACATGTATAGGCTGATTTCTGGAGTTGGACAAAACAATTATCACCCTGCACCTAAAAATCTGGATCTGTTCACAAAAAGGTGGGAGTAGAGAAGTTGGTCTATGGACCTGGCCAGTTTGGCTCAGCGGTTAGAGCGTCGGCCTGCGGTCTGGAGAAGTTGGTCTATGTATGGGGCCTAAGGAAAAACGAACCCTGTCGTGACTGCAAAGTGTTCCTAACTTGCCCTTTCCTGCACCAGTCTCCCTTGCAGGGCCATCAGTGGGTGGTTCCCATCATCCCAGTGGGGAAAAAAAACTAAATATTTCTGGATCTATTTTGGGGATACTCTTCTGTATTTGCATAGAGAATGATGTACGCAATGCCCATAAGCAGGATATTAAATTTGAGGAATGCAGAAGTATATTCGGGTAAACGAGAATTTGTTTCTGCTGAGGCACAGGGAGAAGAGCATCCTCACTGACCTGGGCAGCACTCCCCTCTCAGTGCTGTGCCATGCAGAGTGTGCTTCTAGTTCTGGGTGACCTCGGTGCTTGCAGGCGTTGACTCCTCACACTCTCATTCCTGGCACCTCCTCATTTCAGTGGCTGTGATAGTCCACACTGGGCCCTGGGTCTCCCTTGCCTCTATGCCAGCCCCTCTTCCATACACTCTGTGCATCTGTGCCCTCCCCCGCCTCCACTGTCCCAGACACCTGCCTCTCTATCTCTGCAACCTCCCCCTCTGAAGGTAGCCCGTCTTGAGAATGGGATCCCCCATCTTCTACCCTGCGATCTGAGGTAGAATCCAGAGCACATTCCACAGTGGACTATCTGATTCCCTGACCCTCAAGATTTGACAGAAAGTAAAGGCAAAGCATCCAACCAATGCAGAAACCTGTTTCAGGATTTTGTGAATAGACCCCATGAATATCCCCCAGTAGAACGTCAAGCTCATGTGGGCAAGGATACTTCGCTTTCTTGTTTCCTTGTGTCTCCCCAGCTCCAGGGACAGTATTCAGTACCCAGTCCAGACCTATTAGGTGTTTGCTGAATGAATGCAACCTTTGACGCACCAATTCCACTTCTAAGTATGTTGCAAATGAACCACTCACACATGTGCACAGGGTGTGTGCAGAAGAAGGAGAGGTGCAAACAACTAGCAAAAAACTTAAAACTTTTTATTAACTGAAGTAGGGTAAATGAATAATGCGGGTTTGCAACACAGAATAGTGGATGAACAGGAAACAGAATAAGTGGATATGGCCAAGACACTCTGTTAGTGTAGAGAACAGGTGGGAGATGCTCGTCGTCACAACCCTAGTGTTTGTGTGTGTGTGTGTGTGTGCGCGCACGCGTGTGTGAGTGTACAAACAAAAAGAGAAACATCCAGAATCAATCGCCCAGAATTCCTTTTGTGGTGACATCTGGGCAGAGGGAGGTTAGTGCTCTTCTGTGCTGAGATAACTGACAATGCTTGTTTCCTGAGGTAAGTGCTTGAAAACACAGACAGAAACTTGTATTACGTACAGGTGTTGTTCATCAATGAAACTCTAACATCTAACAGAACATTTGGCACACATTAGGAAACATAATGCTGAAGTTTTCACTGCTGTGCACGCTTCACGTGCTGTGCACCTGATGGCCAGGAGTTCAAATCCCTGCCCATGTTCCTGAAGGGCCGTCAGGTTCTGCTTCTTATCATGGGCAATTGTCACATGCCTGAGGTGGAGGCAAAAAGAGGGAAGGAAAATAAGTGGCAGTGAGCTGCCATTCCTGATCTATTGATACTTATCCTCTCATCCTGACCTGCAGGACCCCGAGCACTCCGTGTGCCCTACCTCCTGATGTGCATGCTCCTGCCACTGCTTCTCAAAGCTCCTTTGCTCAAGTCACAGAGACTCTCACCTGCTCTGTGAGTTCCTAGGCTAGAGGAAGTTGTGGCCTACAGTAGGGGAGCAGACCAGGGATTGGGAGCCCTGGGCATCCTGGGTAGGATGATCCCTGGCTACACAGAGCAGAGAGTAGAAAGCTCCAGTGATGTCTCATCACTTAGTCTCAACACCGCACTCCAAGGGTCTCAACACAGCAAAGGAACGATTTTGGGAAGGAATGACAACATGGGACACCGGTATCATAAGAGCAGTGTGTTTTGCAGGGGTGAGGGCTGCAAAGAAGGGTCACTCACATAGTTAGTCATCTTCCTCCTCGGGGTCACTGATCTCTTCATACACAACATAGTTCTTTCTTTCCTTCAGCCTGTGGACCCAGACATTAGTCTTCCATTTCCTGGATCCTGTGGTAGACATGCATTGCTTAATGGAGATGGGGCCTTGGAGAACTGGGTCTCATTTTGTCAGATAAAGAGATGTTTCCTCCCTCCAAGTGCCCACAAGGCTTCTACGTGGTCTGTTGTCCACATCCTCCAGCTCAGAGAGACTGAGATGGTAGGTCCACACCAGTGCACAACAAATGCCAGTTCGAGTTTTAGCTCCTGGGTCCTCCCGCTGTCAGAGTAAAATTCCCAAATACTTTACTTACCAGACATACATCCGCACCTTTCAGCATAAAGTGGAACCTCAGTTCTTGAACTGAATTTGTTCCGGAAGGCTGTTCAAGACGCGATTTTTTGAAAACCAAATCATTTTTCCCATTAGAAATAATGTAAGTGGAATTAATTCGTTCCAGACCTCTTATTGATTTCTGGTTTTCAGCTTTGTTATATACAGTACATGTCTAATGAACAGTTTAATCTACATACAAACACCGCTTTTCTTAAATTCATCGAACCACCCCCTACTAGCCTTGAAGGAATCACTTTTAGCACTTGTTCCCTGGGTGTCTTTCAGGAGGTCAGCATGCGGCATCTTTGCGTCTTCACATATCACTGCCTCCGAAATGCTGTCACTGGCTAACTGCTTTTCGCTTATGCAAATCAATAAGTTTTTCACCTCTTCAACCCCTTCGGACATTGTTTCTTTCAAATCTTTAGCAACATTAGCACTCCTGATGGCCTCCTCATGTTTTAAATTGTGCTAATCATCTATGTTGCCAGCAAGAATAGCAAAAACAGACAAAAATATTTACAGCACCATTTCCAGAGATGGTAACAAGGGAGGTTTAGTGGTAAACTGACTAGCATTCTCTCCTTTTTTTGTGGCCTGGAGACAGATTTTTGTCATGCTGATGTATCAGATAGAGGACTGAAGTTTTTGTTCGACATCCCAGACCTTATTTCCATGAACAAATTGGTCGACAAAGGAATTGCTTGAGATGGGAGATGTTGCAGAACTGAGGTTTGACTGTATATTGTTAAGGGCACATTGTGTGTCAGACATTGAACTGAGGGCTATGGATACGACCCCAGTAAATCACATTCCCAGGTTACATAGGTAGAATTACCTGAGCACCTTCCTGTCCACAGTCACAGATTTCATTTAATGTCTTCAAACAAGTAATGACCTATGATTCATTGTTTCCATTCTGTGGAATAAGAATCTGGAGCTGAGAACTGGATGACTTGACCACAGGAACACGAATTATATGCTGATGACAATTCAATCGGTGACTTTGGAAGTCCTGTTCCCAGCTGTCAGCTGGAGCTGAACAAGCACCAAGGTCCAACCTGGACCTTGGCCTGTTCAGAATCCAGCTCCCCACGCAAGCGAAGCCAGAGGAGATATCCTCCCCAATACTCCCCTTACCTGGCACCTTCTCCCTCAGCTGCCTAGAGGCCTTCACATTTCCCGGGGGGCAGAGCTGTTTCTGAGCTGGCTCTGAGTCTGGTGATACTGGTACTGGCTTCATGTCATTGTCTTCACTTGCTTCTTTCACGGGAAGCATCTTGCTCATGCGAAGGTGATATAAACACTATCAGAGGTTTTTCTTTGGTGCTTAAAACTTACTAAATGACTTCACATGCGGTGCATTAGTGCACACACAACTCAGGGATATTTTATGGCTGGTTCCTCTAATGTGAGGAACCTGGTCAGTTAGCGGGAAAAGAAATTGCCTAAGTGCCCAGCCAGTGTGGCTCAGTGCTTGAGCATCGACCCATGCACCAAGAGGTCGCCGGTTCGATTCCCAGTCAGAAGACATGCCCACGTTGAGGGACTGATCCCCAGTGAGGGGCATGCAGGAGGCAGCCAATTGATGTTCTCTCTCGTCGATGTTTCCCTCTCGCTCTCCTTCTCCCTTCCTGTCTAAAATCAATGAAAGAAAAAACAATGAAAATAAAAACAGAAATGGCCTAAGCGGGTGTTTCCAGGACTAGAGCCCTTGGCTTCATGCTATTTCCAGACCTACATTCTTGCTAACAGCAGAAGTGTCCATGCAAGCGGGAGTGTGGTATAGAGTAGATTTGGGGAACAATAGCATTTTAAGAAACCACAAGGTCTGTGAAAACAATGAAGAGCCCCTATCAAATATAAGTGATAGATAGTATATAAGCGAGTAGACACTGGCTGGGAGAATACATGTAAAAGTGTACCAACATTAATGTGGTGAAGGCCTGGGTTGGGGTGGGTGCCGTGTTAAAGGGCAGGAGTGGGGGCATAATAGGAGCCATCTGTAAGCATGTCAACAATAAAAATAAACTTAAAAAAATGAAAAAAGTGTACAGAGAAGACAAAATACTGCAAGAAAGTATTATGTGGAGGTGAATACGGGGAAGTAGGGGATGAAAGAAATGGTACACAGAAAATAAGGTAGACAGACAAAAAGGCTGTGCTAGATGTTACATACTGTCCTATCCTGACTCCATCACGTATTGTGGAATTAGGGAGGTGGTTCCCACATCAAGCCTGCCTACCTCAGGGGTTGTTATGACCAACAGTCTTACTTTACCATTCATTGGACTCCCTCATTTAGCAAAGAGTAAGTAAGAAACTAAAAACAAGGGAAGGAAAAGTCATTTCTGAGATTGTAAATACTCCTTACATGTGGAAAAAGAAACTAATACATTCTCTTGAGATCCTTCTCTAAGTTCTCTTCTCAACTGTCTCCATACTGGTAACCCAACTCCCAGATCGCCGTACCATGTCAACTAATTTAATCTGCAATTGTGGAATCACATATTTAGGCAGTTCTTGGGCTCTCTGAGCTGGGACTGAGGCTTCAGAGATGCCTCAGGCCCAGATAAGGCCTGAAGGAGCTCACAGTAGTGAGGAGCTCACGGTCTAAGCTGTTTCTCAGCCATTGTGAGTTGTCCTAAGTCAGAGTAGAGGGACCTTGTATTTCCTTGGTGAGAGTGAGTGTCTAAATGGAAGGGTCAGCAGCACCTGGGGGAGAAACGCCTATGGAGACAAACTGAACTTCATAAAGCTATGAAAACGTTTATGAGTTCGCGAATGGGCTGGATCTTTGGCTTAGACTATGGTCACTGCTTCTGTAGTCTCAAGAAAACGATTTAGCATCTCTGCAACACAACCTCTTCATTATTACTGTTATTATGTGCTGTTATTGTTATTAATATCCCCACAATTTTTCCCCCTTACTCTAGGCATTTTTTGTTCAGATAGAGTGGGAAGGACAGAGACAGTGGGAGGGAGACAGAACGAGAGAGAAAGAGAGAGAGAGAGAGAGAGAGAGAGAGAGAGAGAGAAACATGGATGTGAAAGAGACCCATCGAGTCGCTGCTTCCCGCACGACCCAACCAGGGCCGGGGACAAACTGCAACCGCAGTACATGCCCTTAGTGGGAACCGAACTCGGGTCTCTCTGGACAGCAGGCCGAAGCTCTAACCGCTGAGCCATACCGGCCAGGACAATATCCCCACAATTTTTGAGGTTTAATAATAGTAACAAAGTCATGAAACTTTTCTTACACTTTACATAAATTAATCCATCTGAAGTGCTCAAAATAATATCCAGCATTACTATGAAGACAAAAGAAGTATCAGCTATCACGATATTCTGCCACTCTTCCCATATTCACATCCGTGCAGGGAGAAAGGCTCTGTGGTTCTTCAGATTTGAGAGATAACTTCAGGTGTTTTCTTGGTTGGATGGTGGTAGCCTCCTGAGGATGTTCCTCAGAACGTAGGTGACTAGGCAGAGTTCTTCTTTGTTGGTAAACGTTCCCTGTGTCCTGGGAGACACCTGAAGTATCAGGAAATTCTGCAGCAAACAGTATGAATCCACTCACTGTCAAGGGTAATTTTGACCAGGCTTCTGATGATTTTAAATAATGGTTTGTGTATTTATTAATGGCATAAATTCATAACTTTCCTTGTGATGGTTGATAAAATGTGAACTAAACTCCATCGCTGCCTCATCTTATTCCATGACATATTTCTTGCGCATTTTCTAAAGAATTGAATGAATTGGTTGGAATTTGAACTGTATCTACTAAGAGATGTGTGGTAACTAGAAATCACTGTAGACTTAAAATGGGGCAATTTAATAATATGTCAATTATAATTCAATTAAGTTGTTAAGTGTGTGATGAGGCAGGGATGATTTCGTCCAGCAGTTCTGGAACATGTCCAGGATAAAGTCACTCCTCGAATGTGAAGAACTTTGCACTGGATTTTCAACCCCCTGACACTCATCTTGGGTGCCTTTGAAATATGTCCTGTGGAGGTGGGAGTCATAGGTCTGATGGAGACAGCATGAGCCTGTCTTCTTTTAACTGTGCTGTCAGAAAAGGATGGCAAGTGAATACATCCTTCCCCTTCATAGCGAGTCAATACACTGCTCCTAAGCACAGAGAATTCTTGAATTTGTGGCTTCTTTCACCTCATGTGGCCTCTGCTCACTGTCAACTAGGAAAGCTCAGTGTATGTGTAGCATTGCTCTATGAAACCCTGTCCCAGGTCAATGTATAGAATCATGTTCAGTTAGCAGTAACAGGACCATTCTTTTGTAAAGCACTGAAAAATAGGTGAATGCCATTACAAAATAACCTAATCACATTGTCTCTGAAGATATTTACCTTAAGCTACCTAGTTGCTATTTTTAAATTGACTCTTTATATTTAGGGAGGATTTAGAATCCAATACAGTTTTTCTCAATTTTCATCTGGTTCCCGAGGGTTTTCCGCAAGACCAATAACTAGAGAAATGTTGCAAACTCCAGAAAAGTATGGAGGACATTAGGAGAAATGTGTGTGCACCTGCTTCTGGGTCTAGTTAGATTGGAGCGTTATTGCACTTCTGTGTCTGATCACTCTGAGCTCTTTTACTCAAAATATAACAACACTCCGCATAAGTGACAACTTAAGGAGTCCATGAAGCCCTCAGCGATCCCTTACCCTGTCCCTCTTTCTCCTCTTTCCATTCCTGAAATTATTGAGTTTAGTTCTCATTCAGGTTTTGACACATTTACCATTGACTTATCATCTACAAAACATATATTGTTATTTTGCATGTTTTAGGATTTTATATGAATGGCCACTGATTGTACTTAACCTTCTGTATTCAACTTTCTTTACTCAGCAGTGATCTGTTCAGGCAAGAGACACATGAAAATCCTGTTTAAACAGGTGGGCCCCAAAAAAGTTGGTCTTCGAGACACTTTCCATATCTTTCCTGTTACTCACTTTGATAGTCAGAGTTCCGAGCTTCATTGGAATCATGCTTAGGAGACTTTCTGTTCTGATACTTTGGGCGCATGAAAGATGGTAGGTGGGCCGTGAGACCTAGGAGAAGCAAAATATGTGTTTCTTAAGAGACAATGAGAGAGGAGGGTGGATGCTGGGAGGCAGCAGGGACAGTAAAGTTCATTAACCAGGGGGATCTGAACAAGGCCTGTGGGAGTGAACCATGAGGGATCCAGGTGTGAGCATCTTGTGGGCACTGTCTTCCCTGGGCCCTATTCAGGATACAATAGAGCAGAAGGTTCGGAAGCTGTCCCAGGATTTCTCCCCGCACAAAAGGAAAGTGGGACACTTGCTCCAGCTTGAGACACAGCCAGGACATGTAGAGGGAAAGTGGGATGGTCTTGTGTTCCCAGGCCTGTCTGGACCCAGAACTTCCTGTTACCTAGACTAGTCATGACGTCGTAGTTTCTCTTCATGTACACATAGATTATTTTTTCTGAGTTTCCCAGCTTTGCCCACTCTTTCTCTGAGAAGTATTTGCGAATATCCTTGAATACCTAGGAAAACAAGAAAAAATAAATTCCGGTAGTCAGTCAGGTAAAAATATTTGTGATTGCCTGGCCGATATGGCTTAGTGGATTGAGCATCGTTCCATGGACTGAGAGGTCGTGGTTGCATTGCTGGTTAGGGCACATGCCTGGGTTGTGGGCTTGATCCCCAGTAGAGGGTGTGCTGGAGGCAGCTGATACATGTTTCTCTCTGTCTAAAAAATCAATGAAAACATAACAAAAAGTTTGTGATTAAGCTTGCCCTCTTCCTCCACTGCTGAACCTCAGTGTTGGACCTGTAAAGTGGAGCTAACAATTCCTCTTGGGTGACGTCACAGCTAACTGAGAGAACAAGTGTGACATTCCTTAGCCTCTCCCCTGGCATGCAGCAGGTGCTTCATGCTGGTGGTGGGCACTCCTCTGTCTTTCCAGGATGGACTGAGTATCACGAAATGCAGTGTAAGGTCACAGACCTGGTTGTCTCCCGGGATGCTAGGAGACTTCTTAGTGAGGGTCGTATACCCCTAAGGTTCTGGATCTTCCCCCTGACACTTTGCTCCCTGTCCTCACTGCTTCTGACTACAAGTCATTAAAAATACAGTCAACAACCCTGGCCGGTTTGGCTCAGCGGTTAGAGCATCGGCCTGCGGTCCGGAGAGACCCGGGTTCGGTTCCCGCTAAGGGCATGTACCTCGGTTGCAGTTTGTCCCTGGCCCTGGTTGGTTGTGCGGGTGGCGACCACTCGATGTGTCCCTTTCACATCGATGTTTCTCTCTCTCTCTGTTCCTCTCTCTCCCTCCTACTCTATCTGAACAAAGAATGGAAAAATGTCCTCGGGTGAGGATGATAAAAAAAAAAAAATACAGTCAACATACCCTGTGCCATGGTCACTTCTCACCTCTCTCCTGATGCCAGATATCCCTACCTTATATTTCTCCCCTACATTTTTGGAATGCTCCTTCAGGTTGTTTTCCAAGGATCTGCGTCTGTTCATGGCTCGTGGAGTGATGTTATCTTGAAGGGACATATGCTGAGTCTCTCTAGCCAGAAAACCTAAGATCCTGTGGAGAAGAAGTCCTGAGGCAAAGTCAAACGCAGAGTGTCTCCTGAAATTAACATTCTTTTTTTTTGCTACAATGAGGATATACCTCACATCTGCCAGAATGGCTAACATCAATAAATCATCAAACAACAAATGGGTACAATCCAGGGTTGTGGGATCATCCCCAGTGGGGGTCCATGCAGGAGGCAGGCAATTGATATTTCTCTCTTGCATCGATGTTTCTATCTCTCTAGGAAATCAATAAAAACATATTGAAAATAAAAAAGCCAATAAAGATAGCAGTGGGCCGGACTAGGGAAGTGGGGGGAAAGGGAGGGGATGTGGGACATCTGAAATAGTGTCAACATCAAAAAGTCCTGCTTTTTGCTCTGGCCGGTTGTGCTCAGCGGTTAGAGCGTCAGCCTGCGGTCCTGAGAGACCCGGGTTCGGTTCCCGCTAAGGGCACGTACCTCGGTTGGTTTGTCCCCGGCCCTGGTTGGTCGTGCGGGTGGCAGCCACTCGATGTGTCCCTTTCACGTCGATGTTTCTCTCTCTCTCTCTCTCCCTCCCACACTCTATATGAACAAAAAAATAGAAAAAATGTCCTCGGGTGAGGATAAAAAAAAAAAAAAGTCCTGCTTTTCTCTGTCATTGGCTTATCTGTCCCTGAGAAAGGACATGGGGGTAAGAAGAAGAGAAAGGGGGCTGGAGGTCTATAAGAGAGGTATTGATTAGAAGTACTGGTTTTCAGTGGGCATGATAAAAGAAGATTTAAGAGAACTGCTTGGCTCTGGCCGATTTGGCTCAGTGGTTAGAGCGTCAGCCTACGGTCCACAGTGACCTGGGTTTGGATTCTGCTAAGGGCATGTGCCTCGGTTGCAGTTTATCCCCGGCCCCTGTTGGAGTTGTGCAGGAGGCAGCCACTTGATGTGTCTCTTTCACGTCGATGTTTCTCTCTCTCTTTATCTCTTCCTCTCTCCCCTTCCCACTCTATCTGAAAAAAAAAAAAAGAGAACCGCCTGAAGTCGAGCTGAATGGAAGTCCTACAAGTACAAAATTAAAGAAGAAGCCACATTGAGACGGCAACTGGCCTCAGGGAGCCCCATACCTCTAGCTAACTGGCCCCATGTCTGGCACTAGAAGCAGTTAGCCTTGGTTCACAGCTTAGCTTTGATAGGGAACATCTAAGACTAGCACAAGAAGCAGCCATCCCTAGACAGCTTTGTAGCTTATGCCTGGTGGTCCCAGGTAGAACACAAGCAGAGGCTGACCCAGAGCCAGCACACCCAGTGGACAGCTTCAGACCACACTGAAATATCACCACCCAACCACCTCCACAAGTGAAACACTCAAGGAGTGGGTTCAGTGGGTAGAAGAGCTGTGCTGAAATAAGTCTTGCTCTGTGTGGTGGGCCCTGCACAGCTGATCCTCCAAGGTAGTCAGAGGTCAGTGGTCACAGCCAGTCCTTGCAGCTTATCAGCCTGAGTGAATCCCTCTCATTGACATGCCAACAGCAATCAAGACTCAATTACAACAGAAGGGTGACAGTCCATACTAGAGGTGTACCTCGAGGGTCCAGCTGGGGTGACCCGAGGCTATGTCACTGGACCCTACAGGACACCTCCTACAGTAGGCCACCGTAGAAAGCCTAGGAGACATAGCAACTCTACTTAATACATAAAACAAACACAGGGAGGCAGCCAAGATTAGGAGACAAAGAAACATTTCCCAAATGAAAGAACTCCAAGATAAAACTCCAGGAAAACAACTAAACGAAATGGAGATAAGCAAACTAACAGATGCAGAGTTCAAAACACTGGTTATAAAGATGCTCAATGAACTTAGTGAAAAGTTTCGAGGAACTTAGTGAGAATTTCAAGGAACTTATTGAGTACCTCAAGAGCATAAAAAAGGACCAGTCAGAAATGAAGGATGCACTAACTGAAATAAAGAATAATTTACAGGGACTCAGTAGTAGAGTAGTTGAAGCTAAAGAGCAAACCATCAATTTGGAATATAAGGAAGCAAAAAACATCCAATCAGAACAAAGAATCCAAAAAAATGAGGATAGTATAAGGAGCTTCTGGGACAACTTCAAGCGTACCAACATTGATATCTTGAGGGTGCCAGAAGGAGAAGAGAGAGAGGAGGAAATTGAAAACCTATTTTAAAAAATAATAACAGAAAACTTCCCTAACTTGAAGGTAACAGACATACAAGTCCAGGAAGCACAGGAGTGGACTTGTGCTTCCAAGAGTCCCAAACAAGATGAACTTAAAGAGGCCCACACCAAGACACATCATCATCAAAGTGCAAAAGGTTAAAGACAAAGAATCTCAAAAGCAGCAAGAGAAAAGAAGTTTGTTGCCTACAAGGGGCTCCCATAAGACTGTCAGCTGATTTCTCAAAAGAAACTTGGCAGGCCAGAAAGGATCGGCAAGAGATATTCAAGGTGATGAAAAGCAACGACCTACATCCAAGATTACTCTCTCCTGTAAAGCTATCATTTAGAATCGATGGACATCTCAACAGCTTTCCAGACAAGAAAAAGCTAAAGGAATTCATCACCACCAAAGTAGTATTATATGAAATGTTGATAGGTCTTCTTGAAGAAGAACAACAAAAATATGAACAATAAAATGGCAATAAATATATATCTATCAACAACTGAATGTACGAACAAATGAGCAAGCAGGACAGACACAGACTCATAGACGCAGAGAACTTTTTCTTGGTTGCCAGATGGAAGGGGGCTGGGGCGAGGGTGAAAAAGGAGAAGGAATTAAGAAGTACAATTGGTTGCTAGAATGATGAACCTCAAAGGGAAGTGGGGAGGGAGGGCGGGAAGAGATAAACCAAAGAATTTATATGCATGTATATACAAGCAATTGCCACAGACAATAACATGGAGAAGGCAGGAAGGGGGCGGGAGCGGGGATGAAGGGATCAAAGAGAAAAGAAAAAAAGGGGCATTTGTAATACATTCAACAATAAAGATAAGTTAAAAAACAAAACAAACAAAAAAAAGCCCTGGCTGGTTTGGCTCAGCGGTTAGAGGGTCGGTCCGTGGACCTGAAAGTCCTGGGTTTTGTTCCTGATAAGGTCATGTACCTTGGTTGCTGTTTGTTTCCAGCCCTGACTGGGGTCGTGTGGGTGGCAACCACTCAATGAGTCTCTCCCCCGTTGATGTTCCTCTCTCTCTTCCTCCTTTTCTCCCTCCCACTCTATCTGAATATAAATGCAAAAATGTCCTTGGGACCTCGGGTGAAGATTAAAAAAAAAAAGATTTGAGTCTTTGAGTGGTTTTGGTTAATGTTTGCAATTTGCCTGCAGTTTGGCTTAACCTAAAGGAAAGATATAAAAACCTTTGTCCGGCAAGCAGTAATGTGAGAGTGCTGATATTGAGATTTTCTTTTTTGTTTTAATCTTCACCTGAGCATATTTTTCCATTTTTTGTTCAGACAGAGTGGGAAGGAGAGAGAGGAAGAGAGAGAGAGAGAGAAACATTGACATTAAAGGGACACATCGAGTGGCTGCCACCCGCACGACCAATCAGGGCCGGGGACAAACTGCAACCGAGTTACATGGCCGTAGCATGAACCGAACCCGACTCTCTCTGGACCGCAGGCTAACGCTCTAACCGCTGAGCCAAACTAGACAGGCCTTGAGGGGATTTTTGCAGAGGTGATTTGAATAAAAAAGTTCAGTGGAGGTTAAGTCCCAGAAGTCATATGGTTTGCATACTGATTGATGGATGTGGGGTGTTTCTTAGTTGAAAGGAAAGGAAGAGTGCAAATATGAGTGGATTTGGAGGCCAATTACACATTATTTGGAAATGCTTAGTGTGAAGTGGTCTGGAATCTCTGAGACTACGGGATCAGTTATCCCACTGGCTGAAAACTTAGGGTGTTTCAATGAATCAGTCCGTTGCTCCCCAAAATGAAGGCTTTGGGATTCTCTGAAGAAGAGGATATTTCTGGGTTTCTGTGGCTGAAACGATAATTGCTTTAACCCAAGTGTCCATCAATAGAGGAGTGGATAAAATAGCAGTGGTACCGATATGCTATGGAATTACCTGGACATAAAATAGAATGAAATGTTACCATTGGATGGCTAGACCTAGAGGCTATTACACTAAGTGAAATAAGTCAGTTAGAGAAACACAAGCACCATATGATTTCACTGATATGTGAACTATAAAAAATAATGTTAATGAACAAATAAAATAGAAACAGACTCATAGACGCAGAGCAAAAACTGATGGTTGCCAGAGGGGAGGGGCTTGGTGGAACTGGTGAAAATGCTGAAGGGATTAAGAAGTACAGATTGGTAGTTACAATACAGTCATGGGGATGTAAAGTACAGCATAGGGAATATAGTCAATAATACTGAAATAACTTGGGTGTCAGTTGGGTATTTAATATCCAAAGGGGAACACTCTGTAAAGTATATGACTGTTTAAACACTATGCTGTACACTTGAAAAGAATACAAATTGATATTAAATGTAAACTATAATTGAGAAGACTAAAATTATGTTAAAAATGGGAAAATGGCCCTGGCCACTTTGGTTCAGCAATTTGAGCATTTGCCTGTGGACCAGAGAGTTCCGGGTGCAGTTCCACTAGGGGCATGTACCTGGGTTGCAGTTTGTCCTTGCCCAGTTGGGGTGGTGTGGGTGGCAGCAGCTCAATGTGTCTCTCTCATATCCATGTTTCTCTCCCTCTCTCCCTCCCTCTCTATCTGAATACAAATATGCAAAAAAAAATTGTCAGGGGAGGAAAAAACAAAACAAAACACGGGATAATTGTTGCTTTATCCCAGAGGAGACAAAAAAAAGAGTCCCGTTGACTGAGGCTATTGTTTCTGGTTGAGGAAATCTGGGAGCGTTTGCCTAATTTGGGGGCTTTTCCGGCTCAAGAGTTTTGGGTTCCCTACGAGCAAATAGGGAGT